AATATAGTTACATGTACCTATATTTGCCAAATATTCCAATTGTATTGACTATATAAAATAGTTAATTTCTCTTACCATTCAATATTTGCCATCTTACTATATTTTTTATTTCAAATAATTATAATTCTTGGTAAAAATTTTACACGGGTCAGTTATACTATGCTAATATTGTAAATATTACAAATATTATGGTAACATTTACTATAAAAATTATATTCCTAACTATAATTTTTTTACTATGCCAATATAGTTCCAAATATCATATATTTTTCTCTCAGTGTAGGGTTATTCGTCACTCTAGAATTTTCCTTGAAAACATGTCTCCGTAAAAACATGGATATCTGCTCCTTTTCACGATTTCCTCGATTTTCCGGGAAACTCAAGGGTGATAGAGCAAATCTGACACCGGATTTGGATTCAGCAGCCTAAAATACGTATAGTACACCTAGTCAGACCCCCAGCACAGACAACTTTTTTTAAATTGTGGGCCTGTGTTATTTTTGTGGTTAAAACCACAAAAGCGTATAGTTGTCGTCAAAGGCAACTATATTTTTCTCTCCAGTGTATGTCACCAATTCTGAATTCATTTTTAGATGCAAAAAGAATTCTTCAAAGTTCAGTTCAGTGAAAAGAATTCTTTTTGCATCTGAAAATAAACTCAGAATTGGTAACGTACGACTGAATTCTTTTTGAATTCTCTGTGTTATCTGGGAGGCTACACCCTGTCACGCGCACCGCGGTAGTTACCTTTGTTGCAATATTATTATTATTATTATATTATTACACTTTTATCATTACATTATAATAATTATCATTACTATCATTATTATCATTATCATTATTATTATTACTATCATTATCATTATTATCGTTACATTATAATAATTATTATTACGGTATTATTATTAGTGTTGTTATTACGCCTCAAACACTACAATGCAACTCGTTTTTCTCTTCTTTATCTCTATCTTTTGATCGCTACGCAATTTTAAGCGCAACACGCGCGTGCCTCGTCGATCACGTATCACAAAATAGCGAAACATGCAGAAATCAATGACACGCACGGTCAACGATTATTGTCAATAAGCTCTTTTCGCGATTCCCGTACTTGGCATACAGTAAACCGTTTCACAAAGCGCTCTGTTCAGCGTGTAAGAATTATTGATCGACCATGGGAAGATCGTCCAGTAGGAAGATTTAAGTTCCCATACAACATAAATATCTAAAATGCATCCTAAGGACGTTCCAGAATACTCAACCATCTTTGGAACGTCTCTAGGATGTATCTCGGACACTTGTGCTGTGTGGGATTATATCACAGGGTGCACATAAGTTTGCACGAAATTTGCATTTTGTCTGGAACACGCTTTCACAAGAGTCATTATTTTGAGTGTTTTTTGCAGCGCCATTTGTCGAGTGTAGTAAACGCTAAGTTCCCATGTGCTAAATAATTATTCTAATTTCACATTGGGCACATTAGCGCTTGACGTTTTTGAAGGGACGCGCCAAGTTTTGATTATGCCGCTGACAATTTTTCAGCAGATTTCTGCTCGCTTGACAAACACACACACGCGCACACACACGCAATACACATACACGCATACAGTGTCTCGACCTGGCGCGCTCGCGATTTACTTTCGTCGTGTGTAAACAGCAAACCGTTAGGCCCGATCTACAATAGATGGAGATAAGAAGTAGGAGTAGGAGTAAGACGAAATGGAAATAATTTATTTCGCTTACTCCCTTACTCCAGCTCCTTACTTCAGCTCTTACTACTTAATTCAAGCTTACTCCATGTGATGTATACGGGCAAACTTTTATCGGAGTAAGGGAGTAAGCGAAATAATTATTTCCATTTCGTCTTACTTCTGTTCCTACTCCCCGAGTAGAAATTTATCCAATTTCTGACTAGTAACTGTCCAGGAATTTTTGGTAGCTAGCTAGTTTTTAGTCAGTTTTCTTGGCTAGAAACTAACTGGTTTGGTCGACGTTCACTTCGTCAAAAACTTGACAGTTGAACTAGACAGTTTCAGATCAGTTTTTAACTAGATTTTTATCAGTATCTAACTTGTTTATTAGTAGTTTCTAAGCAGTTTTTTACTAGTTTCTATTTTTGACTATTATAAGCATTTTTTATTGGTTTTTGATCAGTATCTATTTTTTTTTCAATTTATCAATAGTTATAAATAATTTAACTATATATGTATCGAAACCATAATTTTATTAAAATTAAATTTTTATAATTTTTATTTAAAAAAATTGTTTTCATTTTAATATAATATTTTATTTTATTTTGGCCAGGAAAAAATTCGTCAGTAATTTCTGATTTTTTGCTGAACAGAAAATGCACAGCATCTCCTTACCATTTTTCTTATAAAGTTTCTGACAAATAACTGGCCCAAAAATACTGAACAATATTTTCAGAGTTTTTAATGGACAGAAACTGTCCAGTATTTACTTACTATTTTTTCAAGTTTAGTTTTCTGACTAGTAATTGGCCATGAAAAAGTAGCCAGTATTTTCTGCCAAGTTTCAAAACAGTAACTGTTTAATTAATCCTAGCCAGTAAAAACTCTAATTACTGGCCAGTAATCAGTTTTTCCCTGAGATGTTTCTACTTTGGTCCTTACTCCATCTATTATAGATCGGGCCTAACCTTCACTCGCACGAGCTCCCCCGGGATATTTAGTTGTGGGATTTACGAGGGCACGCGAATGCGATAGTCAGATAATTGGGTCGCGAATGCAAACCGACCGCAGACGGATATACACGCGACTCGGAATCGGGCAAACGTACGGTCTGTACACGCGCGAGACCCAATCAATCCTGACATTCAGATTGCATAGCGAGTAGCTCAAGTTGTCGCAAAGCACCGCTTACCGAGTTCTCCTCGCTGTAAATTTAACGCTCCGCTCTTTTTCGCTCTATCCTCCTCCTTTTCTTCTCTTCTCCGTCGCTCTTCGCCTCTCGCCAGTACTGCGTCAGTATATTTTGTACTTAATTCGCTTTTTCCTGGCATCGATATTCAGGAATACAATACAGATTAATCGCGACCACTCCGTTCGTCTTATCATGAAACAATCCGCAAAATATTTTCTCCCTCTCGAAGTTAACCTGCGCCGAAACGAATTATTAAACACTTAACGCCTGCGCGAAATATTATACATTCGTTCGTAACAAATCATGTATCAGATTCGTAATACGTAATTGATATCCAGATAATTCTTCCCTTTCTTCTTTTTGTTACCATTTTCCAAGTTTTCTTTTTCTCCATAAATTTATTACATATATTTATCGTATTTATTTGGACGTGAAAAAAGACAGTTATTACATTTGTTAAATTCAGGTAATATTTTGATAGATTTTTAGAAACTTGAAATTTTGGTTTAGATAGTCGAACAATTGGAAATATTTACGAATTCTTTTCAAATAAATCAATAAATATATATAACCTTACAATATTACATATATATATATATATATATATATATATATATATATATATGTGTAAGATTTTAATCACACTATTTATCATTGTTTTAAATATAAAAATTATAAAAATATAATAAAAATATTATTTTAAAACTTGAAATTACGTCTAGTTTTTTGTGCTAAGTGCAGTGACACCGAATGTCTAAATTGTTGACAATTTGACATTACAACTCGTGTAATAATTTAAAACAAATGAGTCAAGAAAATTTAAAGATTGTTTTACATTTACTGGAAGACAACATAAATATTTTGGAAAACTTCCAAACTTAGTATTTCTCCCGAGACACTAAATAAAAAATAAAAAGAAAAAAAAATTATTTATAAGCCTAAAGAGCTACCATTTTGTTAAATTTCGATTTTCTTTATATAAAGATTATTTTCGTCTCTCAACACAAAAAAATCTGGGTAGAGAGAAAAAGAGAAATTCAATTCTTTTTAATACTCAAAATGCAATGATAATTAGTATATATAATCAAAATTTATTGTCTATATTAACATTTTTATTCATTTCTTTGAAAAAATTCGTAAAACCTTTTATTTTTTGATTATCTAAACCTCTCTTTAAATAATTAAAATAAAGATACGACATAAAAGAGTTTACAAATACTAATTATAAAAGAGAACAAGTTAATTATCTAACAAATATCTATCTATTTTGAAAGAAAAACACAGAGAAAATAGTCCTTACGTTGCATAATTAATCTTGCGAAAAAATAGCTTTTTACAGTGTTGATCTTAGTGCAGCTTCTTACGCGAAAATAATTTTAAGTGCATGACAACGATTTTCCTATTGAATCCTTGAGCATTAATTTAAGATTGTATTAGTCTCTTTTTTAAAGAACAAAATATTTATTAATGATGGTAAGGGACGGATAAAGCTCGCGAAAAGCTTTGAATGGATCAGTACATACATTTTACTATAGAAACTTTCATTAAGCGGGGACATGTCGTTAAGCAAAATAATACGGCTCTCTTTTCTTTCGTCTATCATTCTTTCCCTCCTCTCTTTCTCTTCAACGCTCTTTCTCTTTCCCTCTCTTCTTCTTTTACTCGTGACTAAAAAGAAACTAGACATGTAAGTACATGACCCTAGGAAGGCGGTGACAGGCTATTGTTTCGCTGTTGCAGGTTACTCGCGGAGGAATACTCGATTCGATCACGCATTTAGTAAGCTCTAGTAGAGAACAATGTACTGTACACACACACAAACACACCCGCACGCACGCACACACGCACACACGCGCGCGCACACACACCCCAGACACACTTATCTTTCAATAAAAAAAATACATATCTATACAAGTCATAGAATACACATACACGTGGCATCCATATGTACATATATGTATATACATACGTACAATGATACGTGCATACGTGATGTGCATATATATATATTCTCTCTCTCTCTCTCACTCCTCCTTCTGCCTCCTTCCCGTTTTTCGCCCCTCTCCTCTCTTCTTTAACTTTTCTGCTTCCCCCCTTCATTTTGTCACTCTTCCAGTATGCGACTGTGCTGTAGTGTGTATTTACATAGAGCATGACGTCTCAACTAATAACGAATAAAATATAGTTGAATAGCGTGATATATATATATATATATATATATATATATATATATATATATATATATATATATTCACGTTGTACATAAATAACAATGACGCGCAATTCGAAAAGATAGAAATATACGATGATGGAGGAGAAGCGTCCGTGAATCCACTAGTGAATCGAAACACATTTGTTTCCCACAAGATTAGCGTGACTGTGAGACCTTGGAATCTCTTTGACTACTTCGATGCACGAGTCGATGTTCTTCCCTTTTTATGCTCTCGACGTGTTCCTCGTGTGATATCTCTCGTGAGTCGTCTCTTCTTTTTCTCTCTTATTGTACTTTTCTATCTGTATCTCTCTCTGTTTTTACTTTATTCTCCCTCAGCATATCTCTAGCCGGTGGTAAACGTAACAATGCTTTCTGCATATGTGAACTATCGTTTAAAGCAATTTTGTGTGTGTGTGTGTGTGTGTGTGTGTATGTGCGTGTGCGTGCGTGTGTGTGGCATCGGTGGCATCTGTGGTTTCACTACATCGCACCGCTTTCATGATAGAAAGAGCGATCGTTATACAAAGTGCCAAGCAGCCAACCAGCGAGATTCTCGCAATGATCCAAGGAGTTGATATCTCCATGCGAGGAACACACTTCTCTTTCCGCTTAATATAAAGAGCAAACAATCACGTGCAATTTCGGCGGAATTTCAGTTCAAGAGACATCGCGGTTTTACATTACAATTCATTTTACTATTAGCTCACCATGTACTGCGCGTGAACTACGACGGCCACGGTGTAAGCTAATTGATATTGCTACCAATTAGCGCGGAACATACTGGATCCTAAACTTCCTCGTGTATGCGAGTTTTCGCGCGTAGGAATGTTTCTGTTCCCATTCACGGGAAGACGTCGTATACGAAACACGGCGAGTTTACGCACGGAGGAGGCCAGCTCCCTCTTCTCCCGCATTTTAAAGCGTCGTCCTATATGTATACGCGTGTGCAGTTCTTGCATCTTGCATCTCTCCCTCTTTTCTTCTCTCGCGCACGCGAGTGAGAGAGACAAAGAGAGAAAGAGAGAGAGAGAGAGAGAGAGAGAGAGAGAGAGAGAGAAGCTGCATTCGACCAGCCGGAGATGTTTTAATTCCGAACTCGCGCATAGGATAGTGTAGCCAGGAGAAGTAGGCTCCATAAAGTCCACAAGCCTCAAACCCAGAGAGCTAATTAAACGCGCGGCGCTCGCGCGTTCTATTCCGGTATACGTAGCAGCTATTTTCGAACGTTTATCGACTTCTGCACCAACGTTACTGCCGTTCTCGCGCCCATGCCGGCGCTGGAGCCTCGCTAATAGCGATAGCCCTGGAGGCGAGATTCGCTCGTGATTTTTCTGCGAACCGAATTATCAGGGGAAACATCAATGATGTTCACCTCGGAAACGCTGGTGTTACCGTGCGAGTGTCGCGATTTTCACGAAGTGAACTATCGCGGTCGTACGCTCAGTTTTGATCGACCGATCGGTCGATATATTCGACCTTGCGTTTTTGAAAATTGTCCTTGTATACTCGTCATGTATGTGTTAGTGCAGGACGACCAATGAAAATGTGTTGAAAGTAAACGGTTATTACTCGCAACAAATAGGCCGAATGGAATAAATGAAACGCCATTTTGTAGAGGAAATTTGTCAATTTTATTAGCATATATATAAAAGAGGAATATAGTAATTTAATAATTAAAATATACATTATAAAAGAAGGACAAAAATTTGCTTGCGTATATGAATTAATGATATATGTTTTCAATGTATTGTCCATCGCAATCAGCACAGAATCGTTTTTGAAAACTTTAAAAATAGACCGAATGGAATAAATGAAACGCTATTTTGTAGAGGAAATTTGTCAATTTTATTAGCATATATATAAAAGAGGAATATAGTAATTTAATAATTAAAATATACATTATAAAAGAAGGACAAAAATTTGCTTGCGTATATGAATTAATGATATATGTTTTCAATGTATTGTCCATCGCAATCAGCACAGAATCGTTTTTGAAAACTTTAAAATCGTTTTTGAAAACTTTAAAAATAGGCCGAATGGAATAAATGAAACGCCATTTTATAGAGGAAATTTGTCAATTTTATTAGCATATATATAAAAGAGGAATATAATAATTTAATAATTAAAATATACATTATAAAAGAAGGACAAAAATTTTCTTGCGTATATGAATTAATGATATATGTTTTCAATGTATTGTCCATGGCAATCAACACAGAATCGTTTTTGAAAACTTTAAAATACATTATATAATATAGATATAGGAATGCTGTGAATGCATTTTCGAATACCATCTATCAGCCCTGCAGTGTTTTGAGGTTATACGGCGTAACATTTATCTTTAAGATAACCCCAAGAAAAAATCACACGGATTCAAATCGGGTGAGTAAGGAGACCACTCCAGACTTCCATGAGCAAATTTTCTTACTCATTTATTTTCATACAAATTTTCTTACCCGATTTGAGTCCGTGTTTTTTTTTTATTTTGAGGTTTTTTTTGAGGTTTTTTTATTTTTAATTTTTTACTTTGAGGTTACCTTAAAGATAAATGTTACGCCATACAACCTCAAAACACCGCAGAGCTGATAGATAACATTGGAAAATGCACTCGCAGCATTCCTACATCTATGTTAGATAATGTATTTCAAAGTCTTCGAAAACAATTACAGTTCTGTGCTGATTCCGATGGCCAATATTTTGAGAACACACACCATTAATTCATACGCGTAAGCAAATTTTTAGAAATTAAATACAAGCAAAATTCTAGAAATTAAATACAATAAATTTCGAATTGTCAAGAAAACGTGATATAGCTTGCTAGACGATTAATCATCATGTCAATCAAGTCAAATCGGGTCGTATTTATAGTATAAGTGTATAAAAGTGTGAAAATATACATTTTCACATGACAGCTAAAAAGCAAACCTGCTGTCTCGACTAATGAAACAACGGCATGCACAAGACTGATCTCATGGAGATGAAGTGTTAGCGTCCTCGTGTTAAAGCAATGTTTCTGCTGGATTGCCTTAGTAATTGTAATGTACAATAAGTTTACACAAAAATAGTAAACGGGAATTGCGTAATGTCTTCGGAATGGTCATGAAATGGTCGCGTGCTACAAACGTCTGATCCAGATTCCTTTTCTTCATAATGCATATTTCAATTATTAAATTACTATATTCCTTTTATATATATATGGTAATAAAATTGTCAAGTTTCCTCTACAAAATGGCGTTTTATTCATTCCATTCGGCCTATTTGTTGCGAAGTAATAATCGTTTACTTTCAACACATTCCCATTGGTCACCCTATGACACACACATGTATGACGTGAGTATATCGTTATCGTCGTGAGTATATCGTTATCGCTACCTGCGTGGTGCTTGCTGCGAAAATGCGACGTACAAAGTGACCAAATGACCAGATTTTACGACCGTGACCTTTCGTTACTTAATATTCGGACTTCCTCTTGCAAACGAGGAGATTTTGAGGACGCATATATACGTGAACTGCGGAGTACTATCGTAAATATAAAATATGTATTTGTTAAAAGTAACAATTTACTACAATAGTTACAATTTTCATTATTCTCGTTGATTAAAATAATTATAATTTGCACTGAATTTTTTATATATGTATACCGTACATATGTACCTTCATACATTTACTTATTATTACTGTTTTTATTATTTTTATTATTAAAAAATAGTTTCATATTCAGTGTATCATGAAAAATACTTTTGGCCGCAGATTATATATTGAATACTTTACACAATACTGTATATGAATATAAATACAACTTGTTATGATTTTTTATCATATTTTTCACACACACACACATACACACGCGTTCACATATACACACATACAATCTCACGTATATAAGATTCCAATTAATCACTTTGTCTCTTGATTTTATCAATCGTATCCATTTTCCTCGACAAATTAATTAGTATAACTTATATATTTTTAAAAAATGTTATTATTACAAATTTCATATGTTATTTTTCTTATCACAAGTTTTAATAAAAACTTTTAATAGAAAACATTTATGAATGTCGAAATATTTACGATTATAATTATACCGACAACGCAAAATTGTGACAATTTACAAATAAGTCTCAGCAACGATTAAATTATGATATAGTTTTTTTTAACACAATTCATATAGTTTTTTTTAACACAATTCGATTCCTAGAGTTACTTTATAATAATTTTATAAAAATACTGTGTGAAGTAAAGTTATTAAAAAATTAATACTTTCTGAGATATTTTACATTTTATCCTGATAATTTTCAGTATAAGCTATCTTTAAAAATATTCATTTTTCGACAACTTCACTTTGGTATTTTTGTACGTAGAATGACGAATAAAATTGATTGCTAAAAAGACAAAAACAATAGAAAAACCTTAAACAAAATTGCGTTGCATTTTACAGATTCACTGATACATTAGTATGCATTCGTGTCACTCAGCCTTGAATGAAGGTGTTGTAACGTACAAAAACTTTTGTAAAGATATCAAAAGTTTCAGAATGACAATTTCTGTCTTGCCGATAAAAAAC